GATTCAACAGTAGAGTAGATGATTCTGAGAATCAAAACAACAATTTGGAATATGTGGAAGCAAAAATCACCCAATCAGAAAGAGCAAAAAGAAAAAAAAAATAACCAAAATATGAAGATAGTGTAGGGAGTCTCTGGGACAACTTCAAGCATACCAACATTAGCATCATGGGGGTACCAGAAGGAAAATAGAGAGAGCAAGATATTGAGAACCTACTTGAAGAAATAATGACAGTAAACCTCCCCTACCTGGTGAAAGAAATAGACTTACAAGTCCTGGAAGCACAGAGTCCCAAATAAGAGGAACCCAAAGAGGCCCACACCAAAACACATGATAATTAAAATGCCAAAGGTTAAGGACAAAGAGGGAATCTTAAAAGCAGCAAGAGAAAAGCAGTTAGTTATATACAAGGGAGTGCCCATACGACTGTCGGCTGGTTTCTCAACAGAAACTTTGCAGGCCAGAGAGAATGGCAAAAAATATTCAAAGTCATGAAAAGCAAGGTTCTATTACCACAATTGCTCCACCCAGCAAAACTATCACTTAGAATTGAAGGTCAGATAAAGAACTTCACAGACAAGAAAGCCAGTATTACACAAAATGTTGAAAAGTATTCATTAAGAAGAGGAAGAAGGAAACTGGCAGTCGGACATCCCTCTCCCAATCCAGGACCACTGGCTCCTAACCACTCACCTGCCTGCCTGCCTAATGCTCCCAACAGCCTCCCCCTGCTGGCCTGATCACTCCCAATGGACCTCCCCTGCTGGCCTGATCACCACAATTCTTCTCACCTGCTGGCCTGAGCTCACCCCCCCCCCCCAACTGCCCTCCCCTGTGGGCCTGGTTGCACCTAACAGCCCTCCCCCGCCCCCACCCCTGCCCTGGCTGCCTCAGCAGATGTGGGAGGAGATGTCAAACACCTGTGCATCATTAGGGCTGCTGAGGGCTAAAGCCCTGTGCTCTGGACCACACAAAACTGGAGGTATGATTTTGCATCTGGTGGGAATCTAATTGAGGAAAATTAAATAATAATTATGCTTAAGAGGAAATGTTCAAACTGCAGTTCACCTATTTGATTGCAGCCTGCTAAGAATCTCCTGAGGAGACAGACAGCTGCCACCAGCACACACATGCCGCTGCAGGGGGTGCCCTGGGCGTCATACTTGGATAGCAACGCAAGGACCACCGAAAAATTTTTATTTCCACTTTTTCTGTCTTATAAATTTTCTACAATGTGGACATGCTTTTAAAAAATCAGTATGTCTATCAATTCAATGAACATCTAAAAAAAAAAATGTTCTGACTTCAGAAAGAGGAAGGAAGAGGGAGAGAGATAGAAACATCAATGATGAAAGAGAATCCTTGATTGGCTGCCTTCTACTTGCCCCCTACTGGGGATCGAGCCCACAACCTAGGCATGTGCCCTGACCAGGAATCCAACTGTGGCCTTCTGGTTCATGGGTCAACACTCAACCACTGAGCCACACTGGCCAGGCCCATTCGCTGAATATCATTCAGCCATAAAAAGAAACAAAGTACTGCCACCTGCTGCCACCTGGATGAGCTGTCAGTCACGCTGAGTGGGAGAGCCAGTCACCAGGGGGCACCACGGCAAGGCCCCCTCAGCAGAGTCCGGCAGAGCTGGGCCCAGAGAAACAGGAAGCGCCTGCTGGTGCCTGGGCTGAAAGGATGGGAGGGAGCAACTGGGGCTGGGGACGGTGGTCTGGGGAGTGATGGAATTGCTCTGGAATCAGAGAGAGGGAATGGGGTACCACTCTGGAGATACTAAAAACCACTGAATTGTACACTTGACAACAGTAAATTCTGTGGAGTGTGAATTATGCCTCAATAAAGCTATTATTTAAAAAATCAACATTTTTTTAAATTTGGGAGTAAAGAAAAGATTACATCAGCGTATTAATTATGACAAAGAATAAAATAAAGACTGTGCTGTAGAACAGCGGTGGTCAACCGGTGGTCCATGGACCACTGGTGTCTGTGAGGTCCCATTCAGTGGGGTCGGAGTGGAAAGGCCAGATGCCCTCCCAGCCATACAGGACTCTTCAGAGGCCACACAACCCCACACACGTGCATCCCCTGACTGCACCCTTCCCTTGGACCCCTGGGAGGCCTCCTCTGCTGGTCCCTGTCCTCCCTGGGCACTCCTGCCACCCCCACTCTGCTCTCCAGAGCTCCCTGCTGTCCTGCCTGGGACCTGGCGGCTCCACACAGTGGTCCAGTGGCCCCTGCTGGCGAGGGGCTGCCTCCCTGTGTGGTGGCCTGTGCGGGCTCCAGGAGGCTGCACTTGGTCTGCCCACTAGGCTGTCCTGGCTGCCTGAGCTCGCTGAGGCAGTGCCTGACACCGGCTCCAGCCTCCCACTCTGGAGTGCCCTGGGCAGAGTGAGCAGAGGTGGATGGTGGGTCTGGCCTTGGCCCTCTCTGCCTCCTGAGTGAACTTGTGTTGACATTGACCGCACCTCTGCATCGCTGATCATGGCCATATGTCCCTCTCACAGATGACCCAACTGTTGACATGGTTCTGTTGCCTGCTGGGTTCTGGCCCTGGAAATGCCCATCTTACTGACTAGGCTGGGCACCAGGGCAGCCATGACTGGGGGTGACTGGCACTGGAGTCCTAGGTAGCCAGCTTAAAGCTCTTGGTGGTACGAGGGTCACAGTGGCTAGCTTGGTGGCCTTGAACAGCTACTTAAAATCGAAAAGTCTCTGGGCTAGGCCTCAACATATTCATCTGTGATATGGAGAGAATCAACCCATTTGGCCCAACAGCCACTGAGATGGCTGCTCCAGGCACAGAGAGGTGCTGTCATCACCAGCAGTGTTTTCCACCGGTTTGGCTCATCCCAGCCTAAGTCAACCAGTAAGGCAGATGGGCAGTGTCAGAGCCAGGACGGAGGTGTCGAGAGACTTGGCCAAGGACCCACAGTGATCCTGGCAAAGTTCTGGTCCCACGGTCTGTCCGAGGATGCCGCAGGCTTCCCTTCCCGGCCTAGGATCCGGACAGAGCCCAACCAAGGCTTCTTGCAAAGGGAGCTGACTTCTCCACTAGCAGCTTAGCATGGACTCCGTGGTCATGGTCAGCAGAGGAGGCAAGCTGCCTGCCCTGGAGGCGTGTGAGCAGGCCCGAAGCCGGCCCAGGGCCGAGCACACATCACACACCGCACCCAGGCAGGCAGGCTCCGCTCCCAGGCCGAGCTGCTCGGCCATGTGGGGGCACTGCTGCCGTCCTTTGCACACCTGCCCGCTGTGCTGGGCCGCGGCCCCCAGGCCTGTGTGAATGGCCAGCCATCTCCTCCGTCACCATGGGGCCAGGGAGGCGAGCGGAGGCCGGGCTGGTGGGCATCTGTCCGCGACATGCAGATCCACCTGCTGGGCTTCTTTGGGAAGGCGAGGCCCGCCTACCCCAGTTGGCTCTCCAGTGCCTCGAGGACTTCCTGAGTCTTGGAGAAGCTGGCACTCTTCCAAACGGGAGAAACCAGGTCAGGCCGGTTCTTCAGGAGGATCCTGGGCTCTGCACGCTGGTCTGTGGGCCCACAGGGAAGACCTTCACCCCCTCCTCTGCCTGGAAGGCCCCGCTCTGGGGGAGGGCCCGCTCAGGTCCCCACATCAGAGGGTGTCCTGGGGGCAGAGCTGGGTCTGCTGCTGGCCCTGCCTCATGTGGACTCTGAGCTTGATGCCTGCCCCACGAGTGAGGACTGAAGCCTGCATTTAGCAGGTGTGAGCCAAATGCCCAGCCCATGCCAGCACTCCGTGGAACCACGGCTCCCTGGGGGAAGTCCTGATCCGTGGCATCTGCCCATTTCCATGGTGTAATTTCTCCCAGTTTTGCCACGTGTCACTGACCAGAGTTGGAAAGAGGTGCCAGCCCTCCCAGGGGGTGTCTGTGGCTCCAGCCCCTCTGGGAAGTGCTGGTGCTCTGGAAAGTGGCCGAGTGCCTCTGTGCAGGCTCCAGGCCCCGCAGCCACAGGTACACCACCTGTTTGAAAGTGTGTGCGTGGCAGTGTGCCAGGCCAGGGGCAGGGACCGACATGAGAACAGCCTGGCATCTCCCCTGGCAGCCGCCTCCCCTTGCCACCCTTTCCTGCTCTGGAAGTGGGCCAATGGCTACACACCACGGGCTGAGGAGGACGGGAGAGGGGTGAGCTCAGGGCCTGTGCGGAGTGGGGCTGGGGAACTGGCAGTGTAGTCTGTGCGGTGGGCCATTTCCCTGACAGGAGAAGGGCAGGCCGGTGGGCGTTGGCGTCCAGAGGAGGAAGGGTGAGGGAGGATCTGCAGAGGGGACGGTGCCATGTGAAAGAGGGGGTGAGACCTGGGCCGGGGCCTCTGCAAGGCTCTCCTGAGGAGCTCTGGGGTCAGAGCAGATGATCTCGGCCTTTGGGGTCTCGGTTGTTCAGATGCAGAGGGGAGTGTGAGGCCAGCACTCACCCTCCGAGTAGGTGGTGAGGTCCTGGGGGTCCTAGTGAGTGAGAGGGCGCCCCCTCCGCAGGCTGAGCCCCGTGGGTGGGGTGGCGTGGGCATCCCGGGGTCTCCCTGAGGCGGGGACCCGGCGCCGGTGAGGAGGGCGCCTGGGCCTCTTCTCGGGAACACGGGCTCCCCGGCCGCGCCAGGCAGCCAGAGGCCAGGGCTGGGGTTGCCAGTGGGCGCTGTGGTCCCACAGCCCCGGGCGGCGGGGGACGGGGCGGGGGGGGGGTGGCGGGAGGCAGGGGTTAGTGGGGGGCGGCGGGGGGCGGGGGGAGTGGAGGGCGGGGGGCGGGGGACGGGGGGGTTAGTGGGGGGCGGGGGGCGGCAGGGGGCGGGGGTGTAATGGAGGGCGGCGGCGGGGGGCGGGGGACGGGGGTAGTGGGGGGCGGGGATAGTGGGGGCGTGGGGGGCGGCGGGGGCGGGGCGCGGGGCGGGGCCGGCCGCCCGCAGGTGGCGCAGCCCGGCCAGGTGGGCGTGCCCGCCCCGCCCCGCGCCCCGCCCCGCGCCGCTGAGGGAGCCGGTGCGGAGCGCAGCCGCCGGAACCCGAGCCGCACGCCCGCGGCCGCAGCTGAGGCTCCGGGAGCGCGTCACCGCGGACCCGGAGCGGCCGGACCGAGAGCCACGGCCGAAGCGCGGCATGGACGGCGCCCGCTCGCCCTGTGAGTGCGGAGCCCCGCCGCCTTTGTGCGCCGCCGCCCCCTCCCCGCGCCCCGGCCCGGCCCTTTGTGGAGCCGCGGGCGCCGTCCTCCCGCTCCCCCCACCTCCCCGCTGCCCCTCCGGCCCCCGCCCTCGGCCCCTCAGCCCCCAGGCCCTTCCCCGCCGCGGCACGGCTCCTCCCCGCCGGCCGCGCCCGCCGCAGCCTCCGCGGCGAGCCCGGCGCCTCCCCGCCGGGCAGGTGCGGGCGCTGACGCGGTGTCCTTCCGCAGGATGGACGGTGATGGCCGCCTAGACGCCCGAGGGGAGGCCGGGCGCGGCGCGGGGCCGGCGGGCATGGCGGAGCCGGCGGCGCCCCGGGCGCGGGCGGCGCGGCCCGGGCCGCAGCGCTTCCTGCGCCGCAGCGTGGTGGAGTCCGACCAGGAGGAGCCGCCGGGCCTGGAGGCCGCCGAGGCGCCGGGCGCGCAGCCCCCGCAGCCCCTGCAGCGCCGCGTGCTGCTGCTCTGCAAGACGCGCCGCCTCATCGCCGAGCGCGCCCGCCGCCCCGCCGCCCCCGCGCCGCCGCCCCGCGCCGCCGCCGCCGCCGCCGCCGCCCCCGCCCCCGGCCCGGAGCCCGAGCCCGCGCCCGCGGGGCCGCAGGACCCCGGCCCGGACGCCCTGCCAGCGCCCGCCCCGGAGGGGCCACCGGAGGAGGCGGCGGAGGCGAGGAAGGAGGACGCGGGGCCGCCTGAGGCCAGGCCGGAGCCCGGGCCCGCCCGCCGGGACGAGCCCGAGGAGGAGGAGGACGACGAGGATGACCTCAAGGCCGTGGCCACCTCCCTGGACGGCCGCTTCCTCAAGTTTGACATCGAGCTGGGCCGCGGCTCCTTCAAGACGGTGTACAAGGGGCTGGACACGGAGACCTGGGTGGAGGTGGCCTGGTGCGAGCTGCAGGTGCGTGGCGGCCGCGTCCCGGGTCCCGTTCCAGGGCCTCCCCTTTGTGTGACCGGCGGGGCCGGGGCGGGGGCTCTGTGCGGACCGGTGGGGATGGAGGTGGGACCTCCTGGTGTGTGGCTACCGAGTCTGGCACAGCTCGGCCACAGAGTGGGCAGAGCGAGCCCTGGGAGGGTGTGTCTCAGCGCCTCCTTCCTCGGAGCTGCGCTGCACTGACCCCGGGCTGTGGGTCCGTGTCCTTGCGGCAATAGTGTCGGGCTGCCGGGCTGTCCTGGGCTTGGGAACTCCGAGCTGCTCTGCAATGAGCACTTCCATGTCTGGCAAGGTGCAGGTGCCCCGGCCTGGGTGCTCCGGGCCGCTCTGAGCCAGGCCTGCTCAGGGTGGGCCTGGCGGTCCGGGCTCTGGACAAGGTCTGGAATTGCTGTGAGTGGCTTCTCGGAGCTCCCAAAGCCCATTTGTTCACCAGCGGGTGTGTGAGGTCTTAAAACTAAGTCGTGCTAAAGGCAGATGGGTGGCTTTTCTTCTTTTCTTTTTGCAAAGGCTCTGGACATGCATTTTTCATAACCTTGCCCTTGTGCTGGCTGTGTCAGTCCTGGCCCTGGAAGATTATATAAACCGTAACCCGAGCTGCCCTGGGCGCTGTGGAAGCGGGGCCATGCCTGTCACCGTGGGTGTTTACTGCCCTCTGTCTTGTGGGGGCAGCTGTCCAGCATGAGGCGGCCTCCGTGGTGTAAGCCGACCCAGCGCCGGTAAAGCTAGCCGGGCCTTCCAGGTTTGACGCAGGGCAGGCCGCTGCCACTCTGCAGGCTGCCTGCCTTTGGTTGCTCTGTCCTCCAGGCTCTGGCTGGATGTGTGTGTGTGTGTGTGTGTGTGTGTGTGTGTGTGTGTGAGAGAGAGAGAGAGAGAGAAGGGGGGCCGGAGAGTGCATGCACGCTGGGCTAGTTGGTGGTGCTGACTTGTCCTCAGCCTTTTTCCTGAGACAAAGGATCAGGGCTGCCCTCCGGAGGGAAGCCCCTTGGTCCTGCTGTGGAAACGCAGGCGTGTGCCAGGGCGTCCTCCTGCCCAGAGGTGCCGGGTCTGTGCTGTGCTGGAGGTGGCACGGGAGTGAGCGGGCATCACTGCTCACAGAATGCAGAGAGGAGCAAAGATCCGAGAGGGAAGATGGGGTAAGAGGTGAGGGAGGGGGAGGAGGCTTCCTGGGTCTAGGATAACTGCAGTCCCACCGCCGAGTGATCCGGCCTGCGGCGTGGCAGTGGGCACCCGGTGCTCCACGGGTAATGCCCAGGCAGGAGGCGGCAGCCTGGTGAGGCTGCAGCAGTGGAGCACAGGGGTCTGGCCGAGGCATTGCAGGTGCTGTGACCCCGGGGCGGGAGGAGGAGGCTGTCCCCTCGTTTTTTTAGGGCGAGGCAAGTGGTCTGCCTCCGGCCTGAACAGAGCTCAGAGGTGGAGCCTGCTGGTGGAGGAAAGGCTGGAGGTGGCCTCCACGTGCCCGGCGCATGCCCAGGCCTGGTGTTACAGGGGGCCCCCGGCCGGCAGGGAACCGAGCTGTCTCCCCCAGTAAGGGTCCTGCTGACGTTTGCCTCGGGTCAGGGCAGCGTTGGGTGGCGCAGCCTTCTGGGGAGGGAGGAGGGGGGAGTAGAGGGATCAGCTGAGGACCGGCTCCTCACCGCCCAGAGGCTGCTGTCCCCCAATTTACTGAGGACCCCCACGCAGGCCAGCAGCGAGGACGTAGGCGGGGAGGGAGCTGGCAGCATCATGGGAGGAGGCCCAACCTGGTGCTGTCCACTTAGGGCTGGAGATGAGTGTGGAGGGTGGGTGCCAGCTGAGGCCTCAGGACAGCTGTGCATGGGGAGCGCGATGGGGGGCGTTCTGGCTCTTTGCCCGGAGAGGGGCTCGCAATGTGGAAACTGGGTGTCAGGCTCCCTCCCGTGCAGGGTGGGTTGCCTGGAGCACTGCCTTAAGCACAGGGAGCTTTATCCAGAGGCTTCCTTGCACCCAGGGCCTGGCCCTCAGAGTCTGTTCAATTCTCTCACCCTCTGCACTCGGGGGGCGTTGGCACCTCTCGGCGCCCATGGGGAACCAGGACGGAGACAGTGTCACCTGCTTGCTTTGTCTGGGTTTCCTGCCCGGGGAAGCCGTCTCGCGGTGTGAGTGGAGGACGGCAGATGCCGTGGTGTCGGTGGTGGTGGAAGTGCTGCAGAGGGAGCAGTGGGGCGGCACTGCACTCCGGCTTGTCCAGGAGGACACCGGTTTCTCGGGGAAGCCATTTTAAAGTAGCACGCCTGTCTCTTTTCCTTCAAATGAACGTTTGCTCCTGGCATCAGACCATGTCGCACTAGTGATGTATTGTAGGAAGTGCAAGCATGCCCAGAATCGCTGACCTCGCCCCGGCTCCAGTTCCGTCACCTCCAGCCACCGCACAGACTCCTCCTGTCATGGTGCTCGGATAGGCGGGCTGGCCCTGTCTGTGCTGCGGGGGGCAGTCTGGAGCACTGGGCCCTGCTGCTCAGGTCACTGCACCTCTTAGCCGGTGGGAGACCTCAGGAGAGGAAACGAAGCCAGCCCAGACCGGCCGAGGCAGGAGCCTAGCTGGAGGCGTCGGCCCACCCTTCTCTCCCAGGTCTTCCTCAGGGACCTGGGACCCTCCTCAGAGGCCTAGGCCCCGTGCACCTCCTCCCACGGAGGCTCTGAGCTGCTGTGGCAGGACTGGGCACAGCCTCCTGGCGGTCCCACCTGGAGCCTTTGCCTCCCACTGGGTGTCCGGGGTCACGCCCAGCACGAGGTCACTCTGCCTCCCAGGGCATCTGTCCTTGGCCTTCACCCAAGCACTGTAGCCCCTTCAGGTGCCAGAAGCCGCACCCCCTCCTCAGGCCCTGGGTCTCCCTGTTCTATCATGAAGCCATCCTCAGCTCTGCTGCTGGAGGTGGCTGGTCCCGGGGCGGTGAGTGCAGCTTGCAAATGTGCAGACCACAGGACCTGGCAACGTGTGACCTGCTGGTGTCCCCTTGATGGGCCATAGTGGCACCGTGTTTCCCACCTCCTGTGCCTGGCAGGCGTGTGTCCTGTTCCCTGTCTGTGCCTCGGTTGTGAGCGATGCACCTGGGGACATGCTGCATGCGGCCATGCCAACGGCGCTGGTTCGCTCCCTGGCCTCAGATGGCCAGCTGTCTCCCCCTGTGGCCATGGCTCCCCTGTGGTGATGGCTCTCCGATGGCCATGGCTCTCCCGTGGCCATGGCTCCCCTGTGGTGATGGCTCTCCGATGGCCATGGCTCTCCTGTGGTGATGGCTCTCCGATGGCCATGGCTCTCCGATGGCCATGGCTCTCCTGTGGTGATGGCTCTCCGATGGCCATGGCTCTCCGATGGCCATGGCTCTCCTGTGGTGATGGCTCTCCGATGGCACCTCTATGGCCATGGCTCCCCTGTGGCCATGGCTCTCCGGTGGCCATGGCACCTCTATGGCCATGGCTCCCCTGTGGCCATGGCTCTCCGGTGGCCATGGCTCTCCGGTGGCCATGGCTCCCCTGTGGCCATGGCTCCCCTGTGGCCATGGCTCTCCTATGGCCATGGCTCTCCTGTGGCCATGGCTCTCCTATGGCCATGGCTCCCCTGTGGCCATGGCTCCCCTGTGGCCATGGCTCTCCGATGGCCATGGCTCTCCGGTGGCCATGGCTCCCCTGTGGCCATGGCTCCCCTGTGGCCATGGCTCTCCTATGGCCATGGCTCCCCTGTGCCATGGCTCCCCTGTGGCCATGGCTCTCCTGTGGCCATGGCTCTCCTGTGGCCATGGCTCTCCTGTGGCCATGGCTCCCCTGTGGTGATGGCTCTCCTGTGGCCATGGCTCTCCTGTGGTGATGGCTCTCCGATGGCCATGGCTCTCCTGTGGCCATGGCTCTCCTGTGGCCATGGCTCCCCTGTGGTGATGGCTCTCCGATGGCCATGGCTCCTCTATGGCCATGGCTCCCCTGTGGCTGTGGCCATGGCTCCCCTGTGGCCATGGCTCTCCTGTGGCCATGGCTCTCCAGTGGCCATGGCTCTCCTGTGGCCATGGCTCTCCTGTGGCCATGGCTCTCCTGTGGCCATGGCTCCCCTGTGGCCATGGCTCTCCTGTGGCCATGGCTCTCCTGTGGCCATGGCTCTCCTGTGGCCATGGCTCTTCGGTGGCCATGGCTCTCCGGTGGCCATGGCTCTCTGTGGTCAGCTACTGCTCCTATGGCCAGCTGCCTCCCTGTGGCCATGGCTCTTGCACTGCACTAGCCAAACTCAGGCGCCTCCTGCCGTGCACCCTCCCCTTTCATAGACAGGCCCCGCCCACCCGCCTCACCAGCAGCCTGGCCAAGGTGGGAAGGTCCCTCCCCAGTCCCTCCTGCTTTCCCAGGAGCCCTCAGCAGCTGATGGGAGGGGAAAGTTCCAAGGGGATGGTAGTGCTGATAGCAGGACGTTGGAAGGGCTGTAGTCAGTTTGCAGGTGGCTGCCCTCTTTGATATTTTTATTAACCTCCCAAGAGCTTAGCTTTTTTCTAGAGCTGTGTTGGGAAGTCAGTTGGATGCCAGCACTGAGCTTGTTTTTTCCCAGTGAATCCACACACCACGGTTCTGGTTTGGTTGGTGAGACAGGTTGGTACCAGCCACCCAGAGGCCTGTGAAGACGCTCCCTCCCACCCCTGCCCGCGTGGTGCTGGGGAAGGGATGTGGTCTGTGAAGATTGACAGGTTGGAGTCAACATCATGGGCACATTGGGCATTCTTGGCTCCTTCCCTGTTGGAAGTAAGCGCTCCTGAGACCGGCTGTGTGCCCTCTGGGCATCCTTGGAGGCCCTGCTGTGTGGGCATCAGCTGAGCCTTATTCAGGGCCAAATCCTGAAGGATTTGGGCCCAGTCAGCTTCACGCCTTGGGATGGCTGGTGGCACCTCCCCACCCTGTGCCGTTTCTGGGTGGCGGCTGGGGGCTTACTCTGAAGTGGGTGAGCCTTGCTGGTGGGTTGTGGGTCCGGACATGAT